TTGAATATTTTTGGGTCGTTATTTTTCCTTATGCTATTAAAGTTATTTTCAAATTCCCAGGAACAGACAATCTTGTGTACAAACTTCAATTCATTTTCTAAAGGTCTCCTTTTTCTAATATGTATGCATGCATGCCATCAATATTTAACGCACTACGGTTCAGCATATGTGCAAATGCAATTGAAAAGGCAATCAAATTTTAACAATAGCTTGATTTCTAAAGGTCTCCTTTTTTTGATACACCCTGTATATTGTGTACAAAAAAAAAGAAAATACACGACCTTCTGGCTTGAACTCATAGACATAGTATATGAATATTAATAATATTAAAATTTGCCTCCCGCTACAATCTGACATGGCTTGCAAATCTTCTCAAGAATATAAGCACAAACAATTTAACTCCGTAAGTCGATAGAGAATAACCTTTAACATAGTTGTGTGAAGTTTTATCACGATCTGGTGGAAATGATGGAGCCTTAGCCATTTGAACTTGCTTCAGTTACGCATACTAATATTGAATATAATCTATACGGATTACTACGCTACAATTTTGAGTTGCTTCTAAATTTCTTTAAAATAAAAAAATCAAATAACTCCGTCAATCGATGGGGAATATCGCTAAGGATAGTTGTGCGAAGTTTAATTGCGATCTGATGCGAATTGACGGAGCCTTAGGCTTTTTTAAAGAGCGTCACCCCCTAACAACAACAACAACAACAACAACAACAACAAGATTATCCGCGTGTGGGGACCAGTTCCTGGTCCAAAAAGAATTTCGAACGAAATGGAGAATTTGAGGCAGGACAAACAAATGGTTCGCCGTTTAGTGTTTATCATGCTCAGACGAGCCGCAGTTTGCTTTAGAAAGAAATGGTGGAACATCACGAATAAAAGTTTTGTTATTAAATCGCTTCATCTTTTTGTTCGGTTTCTTCCTTTAATTTATTCATTTGCCCACCCTTGCATGAGAGCGGTCAGGCTAAAATCAATGATGCATTTAATCCACTGCGCGCAATGAAATATTCGTCAGCTTTAGGGGTCGCGCGGTGCTCCCAGTATGCATTATTTTTCCTGAAACTTTAACAGTTTATTAAAAACCTTTCCTACTTTTGGACAGTTAAATAATATCTCAATTTCAGCTACACATTTTCGCGCGCAAGCCCACTCAATATCAGTGGATAGGAACCACCCCTCCCCCCGGTAATATTTTGTTAATGAAAAACAAACTTGCCCTGGGTATACCAGATAAGTCTTAAATATCTCTAGGAACACAAAAATTTGCCAAATTCTGCAAAATATCCTGAAAAACGGAAATTTTACATTTGAGACATTTTTTTATACACCCTGTAGTTTTAGGAGGTGCCATTTAGTATTCATATGCATTTTCAGTTCGAGCCAAGGCAAGCCGAGGCACTCCTGCAAACGTCAATAGCGAGGTTCAGATTTGACTACCACTACGACTACCACAACCTTTGAGGGAATATAAACCAATCAAATGCGATAGGTCTATCAGACTAACCAATCACGAGCTTAATAGATTAGCGAGAGGTAGCGGTAGTGGTAGTGGAAGCCAAATCTGAACCTCGCTAATGTTGCCGATAAGAGTCCTAAATCTTCCGCATAAAGTAAACTTGCAGTTCGATTTGTATATATATAGAGACATCGAACTTTTCATGTGTCGAACAAATGCAAATGACATATGAAACTAAGACTTTAGTACATTAACATCAGACTCGGCACATGAAAAGATCGACGTCTGAAACAGGCCTTAGTAGCAGAATTAGCCAATCGAAATCTTGTATTTTTGAATTATCTATTCATTTAACTGCTCAAGAGTTTTATGCAAGCGACGCCGGGCTATTTATAGCTATATAGCGTGTGTGTTTGCGATTGCTTGAAGTTAGATTGGAAAGATATAGTTTCCTAAAGCCGGTTTCTCGCGCGAAGCGACTTTATTCCTTAGTTTTTGAACAATTCGTTCCAGATGGTTGCAGTTGAGAGCTCTAAAACAAAAGTAAAATGTCGCTTTGCGCAAAAATTATCGCTAGTGGAAAACCGGCTTAAAAATAAAGGTGTGTACAAACGTTTCAGATGTTCTATATAAGATAAGTGCTAGACTTGTTTTCCTTGCATGAATTTGCATCCGATTAAAAATTCTGGCGCGAAAATTATTGCAATTAAATTAAATTAATATTTAAATACGTGCTTTCTATTGGCCAGAATATTGACACACCTCCAGTAGACCCCGGTCAAAAGATCCACCGGTGGATTTGGCGCGCTGTGACTGAGAAAAGTCCTTTCCTAGATAAGTACAATCGTCACGCGAACATTGAGTATGATATGAATTAATTAACCTGTTTCTACCTAATAAATTGTGACTGATGATTCTGGTGTGAATATGTAAATTCAAACCATGCAGATTACATTGTCTCAGAAAATTCCATCACCCCCTTCCCCAAAAACAATTCACATTCCCTGGGTCATATTTCCTACGAAAATTTTCTAAGAAATTTGCCCCCCTCGAAATCATATGCTTTTAGGTTAATTGCTATTAGGCCAAAAATAATAAAGCTACCTCTAAAATCAAGATCACATAAAAGTTTGTTAAGGCCTATTTAGACTACACGATGAGTTGTATGCAATTAATATACAATCTTCGTGCACTGGCCTAAATCTACTCACGCGATTGGTCAAAAACAATCACGTGGTTTCTTGTTGCCTGGCGACAGATACCATTAATCATAGTTTATTCGCATTAACCCATGAAAATCGTGGTTTATTCAAAAATGACAGCGTGCAGCGAAGCTTGGATCTTCAATGCAACAATCAATGAACTCAGATTGTATATTAAAAGTGTTAGAGACTTTATGTTCGTGTTTTGTTTACAAAAATGAACCCACTTGCCGACCATACAATAAACTCGAAATTTCAATATCGTACTCGTTAATTATATGGTCAGCGCGTGCGTTTATTTGTGAACAAAAACACTCACAACATGCAGTCTCTAACCCTTAATTACCATTCTGACGAATCCAAAAGAGGACTTATGCCATAATCTTCACTCAAATTTGTATTCAAGCGGCCCCTGCTGCTTACAGCCTCGTTTGCACTGCAGTCAATTTATTGACATGGCACGGCTAAAATGGGTACCCGAACCAATTTAATCAGCGCTCAGCCTTTGCAATTGATAAACACTGATTAAACACTGATTAAACACTGCCTAAACACTGCTGCTTAAACTGGGCACGGGTACCAAATTTAGCCCTGCCGTGCCAATAAATTGACTGTATTACAAACGGGACTTACGTATACCGTGTTCGTGTGTCCTAACAAAGTACTCGCTATTGAAATCATTCTTTGTTGTTAACATTTAAGAGTACTTCTTTTTGGGACACACTGTAGTGTATATACAGTTGTATTACACAGTATGTCACGCTAAGGCGCCAAATTTCTGTGAGGTGAAATTTCCTGTACGAATTATGACACCTGTTCGGAAATTTGGATCCCTCGAGAACATACTCAACCCTCCAGCTATAATCGTGGAGCGTCTTCTTGAATTAAATTGATCACTAGAATTCGGTACCTTTAGAAAACTTCGTTTCCATGCATAGGTTAGAGATAAAGCTAACAGCTGGCAGCCAACATTACATTAAATGGCCCATAAACATCAATTCATGTCACTTTATAGATCAGATCACCGACTGCTTATCTCGCATTCTGGACAGTTTGAGTACTTCAATGAAAAATTTATCCTAAAGCGAGCTTGTATTAGGTGGCCCTGGTCTTTAGACTTCATTATCGTCAGAATTACAACACTGGAGAATTTTGACACAAAAAAGTTCGTGCACTATAACCGTAAATATTGGGGAAAAATTATTTTTATGATTGTTGGGAAAACCTTCACGGTGTTTTGGCTCTAACAGAAAGTAAACTGTATTTTTAGAGTGAGAAGAAAATTTCCCAGAGCAAGCCAGGGGCCCGGGGAGGTGCCATGTTTTCTGGGGGGGGATTCCTGTGACACCAGTAACATGTAGAGATTTTTTCAACCTGGCATGAACAGTGAGAGGATCGAAAAATTATATATCACAGTAGCTATAGATTTATATTAGGTAGTCAAAGGTTGTTAATAATAAACATCAAAGTTTCGATAGCAGAGATAAAAAACATGATAATAAAATCATTACAAACATAATTTAATAAATCGCAGCATTTATAATGAACCTCCCTAATAGACCTTTCTTATAATGACGTCAAACGCGGGAAGTCTGATGTTACACGAAATTTAATTGGCGCCACAAACTGACTGTCGAGCCAATCAAACTTCGTGTAACATCAGACTTTCCGCGTTTGACGTCATTATGAAAAAGGTCTATTCCCTCGATATACTAATGACATCGGTAAATATAAACACAGGATGTACAAAATACACTTCCATGTACACTTATTTTATAACAACTATTTTATAATTTTGTTTCAATGGCCGGACATACCGACTTGTCTCAGAACAAGTTTGAGAAAGTATAGTCCAGTAATTTTAGGAGATTTTTTTGTTAAGGTCGGAAAAAAATAGTAAAAAGTTGAAATTTGCAGTATGCAATCCTTTAACCGTTCTCAACAACATACTAAAAGTCCTCATGTATCCCGCTTGAGCTTTTGTTGTATTAACGCCAGAACCATACACTACCTTTGAACGGAAATTTTGGCAGATTGAATACATTTTGTTGGATTTGGTTGGATTTGGCAGTTCAAAAGTGGAAGCACTGACAATAACAATTGTCTGCAGACGCTGCGAATTGAAAATATCTCAGTTAAAAAAATGTAAGTATATGTGCAAAAAACCTTTATTTTCTTCAGAATTTACACTATATGTTAAACTCTACCTTCGGTATGCAACAAAAGCTGTATAATATATGCCAGTCTGCAAAGTTTACTTTTTAACCGGATATCGATTCAGCCAGGCACATGTAAATGTACGCCAATTTTGGAAATGTATATGTGCAAAAGTTCCAAATACATTTATTTTTTAGACTTTAGTATAAATATATTTGGTCCAATTTTGCAAACTCTGAATAATTACTTCTAAAGGTAAACAAATGTACGCCATATGTACGCCAAAATTTGTGTTTGTACACCGGACAAGTCCGGTGTACACACTTTACTTTCCAGGCTGGTAATATATGCATTTGGCAACTGGATTTAAGTTTATAGCTATAGAGTATAGTCATACGTTTCTACACTCTACAGATCCCTTGCGTTGTTTATGATTTGGTATTTTTAAAAGGCAAATTTTCCAAGCTCCCAAGAAAGCTTAGTTATTATATATGCATTGTAGCATACAATAGCACAATGGCGCACATATTCTTTGGTCATATATGATCGGAATTTAATAAATGCAAACAAGGCAAGGGTCTGTTGCGCTATAAAAATTTGTACTACCTTGCTTGCTATTTGAAGCCCTTGTAATGTGTCATCCAAAGAAATATTAGATTACTAGTATGGAATGTTTATAAATTCGCCATATAGAATAGACCTTTTCGGTAATTACGTCACAACTACATTGAAGCGAGGCTTCTAAATAAAAGCAATATCGCTTGGCCTCTCAGCCTCGCTTCCGTGTAATTTTGACGTAATTACGAAAAGGTCTATTTGACTGAATGACCTGTTGGCATTTTCAAAAAACAGTGGAGCCTCCCCATGTTGTAAACATGATTAATGTAGAAAGTATCGCGGGCTTATCTTGCTAACAATATTATTATAGTCACCAAATTATTGCATTGATTTTTAACGTTTATTCATTAAAACACAAATTAAGTGTGAAATAAAATATATTAAGCCATTGCCAGAAATCAAGGACAGTTTCTGCACAGTTACAACGTGTTGCCTCGCGGGCGCAGATATAGCACTTTTGATTTTTAAGACTTTTCGATTACATCGCCATTCATTAAACAGTTTTTTACCCATACTCAGACTTTCGTAAAATGGTAAACAATCGAAGGAGCAATATGCTGAGAAGTTCGAAGAAACGTTTTGAAGTGGAAAGAGTTATTTTTCGCAGATATCATCGTAGAAAGGTGTGCATAATATGTTTTCATGAGCGCTCAAAATATTTATATTACAATGTCAATGACATTGACAACGACAGTCTATTTATTGTATTTCACTGTCTCTTGTTTTACTTAAAAAACTTAGATTGGAAACTTTTTCGGGCTGTTTATTATCGTTTATTAATGACTTGTCATGTTTAGGTAGAATATTATGTAAAATGGAAAGGGTATAGTTCTTTAGCAAACACGTGGGAGCCTGAGGGGAATCTTAATGCAGCTGCAATCAGGTATCTATTTTTCTCTTTTCTCCTATAAAGTGGATAAACTGTAGTTTTTAATTCATCATCGAGATTGAAACGGATAGATCTGTTCTTAATTTGAGGCTGCTTTATTAATTGGGCTATTGTATTAAAAAATCATACCTTTGACCCTGTCGAGGACGTCTGTTTTCAGGATTTATCTCTCTGGAAATCAAAACAAATTGTGGTCTGTGTAACTAATCCCTTTGAAAAAGTCCTCAACCCCCTAAATATATTTCTAGCAGAATCTGCATGACTATAGTTAGCATAGTTCAATAAACGATAAACGTTTCTTTTAATAGAGCTTATAATAATCCACAACCTTCACTTGAAGCTATTGAGGAAGGGAGAGATTTCTTACTTTGTGGAATACAAAAACAGCTGAAATCGAGAAGCACTGTACCAACTGTCATCTCATTTCGGCGTGATGTGTTTAATTATCTTTTCAATGGAAAGGGGAAACCAGGCAATGACAGAAATTCACTTCTACTTGAAAGAAATGATTTTAATCATTTCCGTAATTTTCCAAACAATTGGGATAAAATTGTGGACAACATTGGAGACGGATTAAAGATAGATTTTCCTATAAAGCTACGCTCATTCTTGTCTTGGGGTCCACAAACACATACTTCTTTTGATGGAAAGTTTTTACCGTGCCCAAGATATCGCCCAGAAAAGTTAAGCATTTCAATACGTAAAAAATCATTTACTCTTTCTATTGAATATTAAAAGCTTATTTAACGCACTTAACTCTTATGCATGTTGTGTTCTAAAAATATTACTAAGTAGCAATAACTTTAACATTAATGACACTAAGTCTATTACACTGCACCGTTTTCGTAGCGTTTTCGTATTGTTTAAGAGAATTAGACTATTGTCTTGTGCCCCCTTGAGGATTAAGAACAATACAAAAACGCTACGAAAACGGTGCAGTGTAAAGGTAGCCTAAATACGAAGGAACTGTAAATGTCACTGTTTCAGTCATGTTATAAATAATGGTAAATAACTTTGTCTTTGTTTATGAAACGGTTTACATTAAAAGAAAACCAGTTATGTTTATAAGTTTAAATGATTCACTACTAAACTAGTTTTTTCTCTTCGTTTTAATTTTGTATTACAAATATTCCTTACTCAAATCCTTACTCATCCTACCTTTAATCTTCAATCTTTATGCACATTGCACCAAATGCATGCGTAGTTCGATGTGACACATTTAATCCCAAAGCAATAAAAGTTTTATATCGACGATTGCGAAGGTAAAATATTCACTCATGAATGACAATGTTGCCACAGTGCTGTTTCTGTTTTGTTTTTTTTTTTTTGCGCATTGATTATGTATTTACCCGTAAACAAGACTTATATATTTCTGCGCATATCTAGCATTTGTAATGTCCTTGATTTCTGGCCATGAGCAAGTCAAATTGCCTTTGCAAAACCGGTAGTATAGAAATGGGAGGGTACCGGACTACTTGCCCTTGCCAGAACAGGGCGTAAAACAAACAAATTCCCTCCCAATCGTGGGAACTGACCAAAGACCTCGCGATTTGGTTACGACTGTAACTTACGGCTGGAATTTACTTTTCTTCAAGGCCATGTTCTGGCAAAGGGCAAGTGGTAAGTGGTTCCCCCCCCCCCCAAATTTCTATACTACTAAAACCGACAAACTTTTCTGAGAATTAGATAGGAGTACACATTTCAGGTCTACTATTTCTATAGTATCATTAACTACATAATTTTGCAAATATGTACTACAGTATTTAGCTTCATGTTAGTTTTCTCAATTTCTTATTTATATATCATGAACAGGACGTTTTTTGTGTTATTCACTTGATGCGAAGATTCAAAAATAATCAGAGACTAAAAAATAAACATTGTCAGTATGAACCAGCAGAGCATTTGCATTCTATGCGATGAAGAATTGTTAGCAGAGGAAAGTGTTACTGTGACAAGAGGAATGGAGACCATTCGAAAAAGCAGTGAACAACGCGGGGATGGAATCGCAGAAAGATTGGACGGCCTTTCATCAATCGATGTGCACATAATATGTCGTAAAAACTACACACGTCAATCCAGTATTAAGGCCGTGCTTCAACCTTCTCCCAAAAAACAAAAAACCCTTAGATCTTCAATGACGCAATTTAACTTCAAACAGCACTGCTTGTTTTGTGGCGATGACTGTGATATTTCAATTGAAACAAAAAAGCCTTTAGCCAGACGGAAAAGTATACACGAAATACGAACAATAACATGTAAAACCACGATTGCTAATGCAGCAAGTGAACGTGATGACGAATGGGGACAAATCGTACTCTCGCGTGTTGAATCCGCAATAGACTTGGTGGCTGCTGAAGCCAGGTACCATGGAAATTGTTATGCAAATTTCTTAAAATTGCCATCAAAACGTAAGCCAGGTCGTCCACAAGACAACGATTTGGCAGAGGCATACGAAAAGCTGTTCTCATACTTGAGTGAAAATGATGAATGTCAATACTCGGTTGATGAGTTACTTCATAAACTTGCAGAGTATCTTCCACAATCTAAAGACCTATGTTCTGAGAAGACATTGAAGAAAAAACTCGAAGAACACTTTGGGGATGACGTTATTATTGCGAGCAGACGAGGAAAAACACCAGTTGTTTGTTTTAAAGACACTGGATTCAAGATTCTCAACAACTCTTGGTATGAACAACGATCACAAAGCCAAGAAGAAGAACGTTTGCGTGTCGTAAAGGCTGCAGCTGCAATTATACGAGAAGATATTTGCTTAAAAGCTTTCGACACTTCTGTGTATCCAACATCTGAAGCAGCATTCGATGATACGTCCATTGTCCCAGAAACATTGAGAACCTTCACACATACTGTGGTTAACAAAACCAAGAAAGGAAATACTGCTGGAAAGACACGAAAGTGTACAGTTATTAATCATTCCATAATCTCAGCTACTAGACCCAGGTCTTTCCTCTCCATGATACATGTTGGACTTTCCGTGTACATACATAGACATTTAGCATCTCGGCATTTGATAGACTTACTATCCAGTATTGGTGTCTGCGCATCATACAGTGAAGCAAGGCGGTATGAAGCCTCGGCAATGCTTGGCAAGCAGCAAAACGTCAGTGAGGAATCATTCAAGCAATTCGTATTCGACAACGCAGACTTTAATATACGGACCATAGATGGATATGGAACATTCCATTCCATGGGTGGGGTTATGTGTGTTACACCAGCTTCAGGAGTTAAGTCACAATCTGATATAGAGCGTGTAAAGACATGTCCGCCAGCAGAAAAAATAGCAGCAGTGAATAATGTGAAACTACAAAGATATAGTGCATCCAACACCAAAGGTATTCATAACATTGTGGTGGAAAACCCAGCCAAAATCCGACAACTTCAATCAGCCAATCCAGTTCACAGTTTCCTTGACTTTTTATGGATGAGTGGTTCATGGCTTTCGCCACCCAAAAATCCAAGTTGGAGTGGATATATGGAGTTGGTAACCAAAGGCATTATTAATTACCAGACATCTAAGGTTATAACATTACCATTTGTCAACTTGCCACCCAGCAGCTTGGACGCCATTTACACGGTTCTTAAATTTGCAGCAAATGAGTGCGAGAAATATGGGCAGCAAACATGTTTTGTTACGTTTGATCAGCCCTTGTACGTAAAAGCGGTGGATATGGTGGCTGCTTCCTCTAGTGGCAGTGAACTCTCTTCTGTCATTGTTAGACTTGGTGGTTTCCATCTGCTGATGTCATTCATGGGAGCTGTTGGTTACATAATGGGTGGGAGCGGCCTGAAAGAGTTGTGGAGTCTTATATATGCAGTCGACTCAGTTGAGAAGATGCTGAATGGACATGCTTATGCTCGAGCATTACGAGCACATTTTTTGACACAGCTTGCGTTGATAATCGTCATCTTGCGCAATGCGGAAATCGATGATTTGACCATCGAACAGATTGTTTGTCTTCACGAGTCGGTAATGGACAATAGTACTTCTCATGTAGATGCTTCTAAAAGTCCGGCACTTAATCGTGTCAAAGATTGAGGCAGTTCAGCTTTCTGCCAGTAATGAAAGTCGAACAGCTGCATTGTGGGTGCAATATATAAATCAGGTAATGCTAATGCGTGATTTCATACGTGCTGAAAGATGTGGTGATTGGAAACTTCACCTTGTAACAATCCGGAAAATGCTTCCGTATTTCCATGCATCGGCTCATCTCGCATATGCAAAATGTGCTCACTTATATATCCAACAGATGTCAACATTAGAAGAGAAGATGTTGCCAAATGAATTCGAAGCCTTTACCTCTAAAGGTTACTTCACAGTGAGGCGAACGGACAAAATGTGGGCAGGAGTATGGACAGACATGACCATAGAACAGGTACTAATGCGGGCTATGAAGACGTCAGGAGGTCTGACAAGAGGTCGTGGGATGACAGAGAGCGTTGTTAGTCGTTGGGTGTTGGGTATGCCAGGTTGTAGTGAAATTACTCAACACTTTGAAGCATTTTGTGATGTTACCTTCACCACAAGCGAGCAACATGTAGAACTTAGAATGTCTCGTCAATTGCGAGATCAGAAAGATGTTGATACCCTTCTTCAGTGGCTTATGGTTCACAGTCCCATGATGTCAACCAAGGAATTGATGTCAATAGCGACTGGTGTCGTGGCTGACAACACAATAAATTGTGATGCTGCTGTTAAAGTTGGAACAGAAGCAATGCAGAAAATATTGGGAAAGACGTTTGGAGACATCCAACTGCACAGAAAAGACAAAGTTCTTCCACTGTCCTGTGTCAACAACTCGGTAAAAGTACGTGAAGAGGTCATTCCTGTAAATACCATGCAGTTGTTTAACAGAATTGTTTGTGTCATCAAAACAGATGAAGATTTCGCCTCTTGCCTAGAATATGAACTAGCTCCCAGACCATTATCACTCTTTGATGAGATATCAATGAGAAAAACTCAGAAATCGGTCATGTATGATGTCATAGAATCTGTAGCTGATAGTCAACAGACATATCCTGCAGGTAGTACCGTCGTCTTGGATGGTGGATACTTATTGAGACGAGTGATATGGCCGCAACATGGCTCATACAGTGACATATATTCATCATATGTGACCTATGTTCAAAAACACTATGAAACACAAAGGGTCGTTATTGTATTTGATGGCTATAGTGACGCTCCGTCCACAAAGTGTGCTGAGCAAAATCGGCGAGCAATGAAGGCGCAGTCGACAGAGATCTTGTTCACGGATGACATGCCTATTACTATCCGTCAAGAAAGATTTCTGACAAATGGAAAGAATAAAGCACGGTTTATTGAAGGTCTAACGCGATATCTTGAACATGCTGAGATAGAAGTGAAACAAGCGGTAGCAGATGCAGATGCGTTAATTGTGCGAACTGCAATTGATTTGTCGACCAACAACAACGTTGTCGTAGTCGGAACTGATGTCGACTTGCTTATTTTGTTGATACAGCTATCGAAGAAAGACAACCAACTCTATCTGTACAAACAAGGAGCTGGAAAATGTCCAGATAAAGTATTTTCTATCAGAGATGTTCAGAAACATTTGACAGAAGTATCCAGCTCGTTGTTCTTTCTGCACGCCATGACAGGTTGTGACACTACCTCCGCCCTGTACAGACAAGGCAAGAAGAAGGCGTTCAACCTCTTACAGAAAAACGAGGAATTACGGCGCGAGGTGGTGAGTGTATTCAACGATCCAACATCTTCCCCTGATTCTGTGTCATCCGCGGGAGAAAAGTTTCTTCTGGCATTGTATAGTGCTCCTAAGTCAACAACTTCTCTGAATGATCACAGACACAAACGATTCATGAAAGCGGTAGCTAACTGTCCTGTTAACAACCAGATGCAACTCGCGGCTTTGCCACCGACATCTGCAGCAGCAAAGGAACATTCATTCAGAGTGTATCATCAAGTGCAACAGTGGTTAGGAGTGGAGTTGCCCCCAACTCAGTGGGGCTGGCAATTGAAAAATGGAAACCTGCAACCGGTTCTCACTCGTCAAGCACCTGCGCCTGAAAAACTGTTAACTTTGATTTCTTGCAATTGCAAGAGTGGCTGTGAGCGATCATGTGGCTGCAAGAAAGCAGGTTTGGTTTGCACCGTTCTGTGTGGCCATTGCAACGGAAATGGCTGCAGTAATTCTGAATCACCAATTGTATGTGAATCAGAAATGGATGGAGAACATATTTTTGATGAAAAGAGCGAAGGCATTGATGTTATTTCCGATTCGCCGATATTGGAAAATGAAGCATTTGATGTCCATGTGCCTGACGAAGAGTTGTCAATAGACAATCAATCTGATGAACTTGAATTTCCATCAGCAACTGCGAATCCACGAAAGCGGAAAAGTAAAACATAAACATATCGGGACAGTGTACAGTCTTTCGTGTAATAGAGTTGGGTGGAACCCCTGGCTAGGATTCTTGTGAAACGTGTTTTAATAATATTCACTTGTCAACTTTACTGTGAAAATTCCAGTTGTTACTTTGTGTCAGGTAATTTTGTATGTTATCGTGCTTATGACGTCATAATATTGCTGTTTAGTCTAAAGTAATAATTTTACGTACCAAAACATATTTTAAAAAATCCATATTTAGCGCAAATATAAGTAATGACGTCATGACCTCATAACGGCAGAAGCTCCAGTCGGATACATGAGGACTTTTACTATGTTATCAAGGTCACTGAAATGAGTGAATACCCCAATTTTCAACTTCTTACTAATTTTTTCCGACCTTTTTTACCATTTTGACTGTACTAGTAAGGCTCTGTTTTTATTGTGTATTTTAAAAGGAGAAAAACAAAAAAACATATTCATATCGTTATGTGATTTGAAGCGCTTTTAAAATACATCTGCAAGGCGAATTAAATAACTGCCTAAAAAATCCTTCTTCTCAACAAAGGACTCCGGCATTAGTTACGCGCTTCTCACTGCTGTAACATAAAGTCAAAGGGAAAGGCTTCCGCTGAGTCGTTGAAATCACTGGACCGCTGGCATACAACAGAAAAAAAAATTCCATGCACAATCAGCGGGACGCTGCAATTGGCACACGGGCCTGAAAGTACGGAAGACGGGCTAAAAAATTCAAGTATAATTGCCCGTCTCTCGAGTATGAAGTGACCATTTATCATTAATTTCAAGGAAAATGTCAGGATCTCAAGACTAAGTGCAAATTGCCCAACCTATTACAAACTAAGCATCCCAATATTCATTGACTTCCTCCGACTTCAAAAAATAATGTTCAATATTTTTGTAAAAATCAGGCTATTCAGCAGCAGGAGAAATCTTAGCCTTTTCTGCAATATTATTGACTGTAGCAGCGATCGGAACCTATTGTCCAGAATTCAATATCTAGAGCAAATATTTATTTTTTTGTTTTTTCATAAAAATATTTGCCAACTTTTAATTTCCAAATCTCAAGATATATGCTGAATGATTATATCAGATAAATATGAGAATTTTGATTAAAAAAACAAGAAAGGTTTTCATTGTTATTTTTTTTACCGTTGCTGTGACTAACTGCACAAACTAATATGGCTGACTGTTGCCTTGGGCAAAAAAAGATAAATCAGTGAAACTGCTGTTTCAATCCATACCTGGGGTAAAGAAAATACCCTGGGTGCGAGGTTGCTGCTGTTTTTGAGATAAAGCAGTAAATAAAATGTTTATTTAGATTTAAAAGTTATCTCAAGGTTTTGACTCCCCTCTGTTTTTTAAATCAAGTGAGATTTCCCTTTCCTTCATCAAACTGTTTGGGTTCCCTGCTTTTGACGGCGCACTATATCGCCTCCTAATCCCTACGCGCGATAGCCAGTAGAAAATAAAAAATCCTGTCATGCGCATCACAGACCTTTAGGCTATTTTAAGATGGAAGTGTGTTCTAAGCACCGCAGTGATGATAGTTATAGCTTTGACATTTACAACTTCCGTGGATTTGACGGAGAGAAAAAGAATAAAAAAAGAGCAAAGGAACGTTAAAGTTCCGAGAATTTATTCAGTTAAATAATCTAACAGAATTTGACAACCTAAGAGTTTTACAATACTTGAACCTTCGTTGGTAAAACAAATAAACAGTTAGAATTCAGTCTCTATTGTCCGTCGATTTTGAAGATTTGAAAGTCCTTTATGCGTGTATTCAACCATTCAGGTCGCACTTTCGGCCAGGCTTAACTGAACAAATCAACATACGCTTTTGCTTCACTTCTTCAACCATGCGCCGCAATTTATTTTCCACATGTCGCAGAGCCAGTGGGTTTTTTCATCGATGTCAGCGGTAGTGCCATCTAAATTACGAAGTATCTCGTTCAGTAGCGGGCGGTGCATCTCATATTCTTCATATTCTGAAACGTCGTTCACTTCACCGAAGTTTCTCACTGGCATCGGTGCGCGTGCGGTTACCACATAAGAAAGGGCACAAAATATAGATACAGCAATATGTTAGCCATCGCCACGCACGCGGTTGTCTTCACGTACAGAGAAGTGTTTTTGAAAGGAACCGTTGTTGAGCGGTTGATCAATTTCTTGCAACAAAGGCTATAGTGTTCTCTTCGCTAGAAATCCACTCGTCTTAAATACTCTTCAACTGGACTCTTATCTTCATGTCATGTTAGTTTTAATTATTGTAAAATGATGTATTTCCAGATAAGAACCCACATTAATTATAAAAGCTGGAAAACAATTCGCGATAAGGTAAACGCAAATGTGCGCTAATGCATTTATAATGAAACTCCCGGCTGTCGCGATAACACACAAAGCATATAAAAAGTCCGAAAGAGACAAGTAAAAATAGTTCGATTGCATATCCAGTAGTAAGGATATGAATTCTTTTTCCCATGCAGTACGTCAATTTCATATAAAGTTCAAATACTTAGCAGAAATTACTCGTAGATGCGCACACTGATCCATAATTGCCCTTACGATATCAAAACACCTACTACCCTAAGTTTATTTTATAGGCTCATGCATGCACTGACCTTTTCTTCACTGCCTATAGCCAACGTAGGAAATTTGCTTATTATAAAGAAATATTAAAATTTATACATTGTTTTCGTTGCAATTGTATGTTAAAGAATTAAAGAGCCGCGAAGTGAATAAATTGTCTATAAAATCTGTGTCAAACTTTGTAACTTTATGATCATTTGAGAAATTTTTGAATTCGATCTTTTAAAAGCTAACCCAGATGAATTTTAAAATATTTTTGATTTATCGCAATATTTTCTCCAAACCGAATAGTAGCTATATACTTCGGTCGACATGAAGGAATATTATGCTACCTGATGGATGTGTAGTAATTGGGAATTTGCACAATGATATAATGAGTGAATTTGTTCGCGAATTTTCTCGAAAAAGGATTGAGTAATTATATAGCTTACCGATCAGTGATAAATTATGTATAACATTTATGCGCCAGAAAGGTTTAGGTGTTTGTAAAACTTGAATTTTCAGCAATATCCTGGCGATTAAAGACCTCTTTTCATGTAAACTTTAGCTATGAACAGTTTGGCAATTTGTCTGAGAACAGCTTATCAGAGAAGTTGGGGAGATTTTGGAATTAAGGGCGTAACGAATCAGATCCAAAAATAAATTGTCGGTTATACATATAAGAATACCAAACATTCTTCAATGAAAATACAAATATGAAAATAAATCGTTAATTTCTCATATTTTAAAGCAAAAGTCGTTGTTTGCACAAGAGCGTGATACTTTGATACAACAATGGCCTTATAGTTAGAGTAAAATGTTGAATTTGTGCCGGGTGTAATGTTGCGAGCAACCAAACAACAATTTTACTCGCGCATTTTATTAAATAAAAACTGTCGATTAAAAGCCATTCGACAAATGGAATTTACAGCGGCTGGTTTTCAAACTGACCAAACAATAAATGCGTAGGTGTAAAATCTCTTGGAGAAAACGCTAGGACTGATAAAGGCTCAAGTATTTAAAGTATAGGCGGAAAACTGACCAATTTTTTAAACTTTATCTTCGAATAACATTTTCATGTTGTTTTGACCTTACTTGGGATATAATACAGGCAGCAAAACTGTTCGTTCACTATCCCAAGTTGGTGGAAATCACAAACAAAATAGTCAGTTGGATCTCCCATATTTTGCGCCCAATTTACAAAAACTTGCTGATTTGTCATGCGTAATTCTTGATACCTCTTGTTCAAAGCAACGCAAGCATGGACATTTTTTCAAGTACCCTATATCGTCAAATATGAAATATATTTTTTAAAACTGAAAATTGCTAAACGAACCATGAATTTTCCACAAACACGACACAAACACAGTTCAAACAAAACAAAAATAATAAGAAATCAAAAATCTTCGATTTTGTAGATGCCACAAATTTGTGTAAATTCCATCAGTAACGACGCCGTATCTGTTATGCCGCGTACGCGCGCAGATCTGTGGAGAATGACAGTATTATAAAATAACATGTATATAACGTGTGTTTTGATTGGTTGAAGCCCGTGTTTGGATTAGGCCATCCAAACACGGAATTAATTCTCTTATGGAAATCAAACTTGAACACTACCTTGTTGTTGTTATTTTCATAAAACAATTACTTAATAGTTTCCCGTGTTTTGATGGCCTGATCCAAACACTTGGGGATGTTGCTTGACTTAAGAAAAGCTCGCAAAATCACTCGCCTTTGGTTCGTGTTTTGCGCACCAGTTTTCTTAACTATCGCAACATTCCCGTGTGTTTGGATCAGGCCATCCAAACACGGAAATTATCAAGTAATTGTTTACTGAAGTTTTGATTCTCCGAACTTCACAAGTATGAGGCATTATTGTTGGCGTCGAGCTGCAACAATCTAATGTTCACCCTTTCTCCACTTCCCTTCAAAACGTTTATATATACAGCGTTGAAATAAATCTTAATGGTTTACGAAATTAAAATTGGAAGCATGTACAAGTAAATTATGCCTCTACAGCAATTAATGGAAACAAAGCCATTTGATACGTTTCAGTCAAGGTATGATAAGCCACGTTCTCTTGTTGAATGGAAAAGATAAGGAGTCGATTTGCTATACACCTCCACGTTTTAGTCAGAGCTATAAAAAGCATTACAAGATGCATTAATGTGCACATGTCATATCGTCAAATAATTAATTAAACTTCTTTAATAATGTCGAATATTAGTTTTGATTCGTGGAGTTCTAAATCATTTTAATTTTAAATAACCGTCAAAACGCGTGGGAATGCAGCAATAATGAAAATCGAAACAGTGGATTTGCCATGGCCGTATGCTCTACACTAGGGAACACGGAGTTTAACGATCACGATCGAACATAACTAATGCATGTACATTAATTTGATTGCAAATCATTTCAATGCAGAGACTGGGAGACGCCAGTTTCATTTTTGGTGCAACATTGTTTAGTAATAGTACGCTTGTGAATTTGGATTAAACAATGTAAAAAAACTGAATATGATGAGCATTGACGATCTTGAAAGATATAATTTTGTTTGCAATGATTATTTTGGAGCCGAACTAAAATGTTACACAGGGTTTTTGAAGAAAACTGAGCTAATTTAAAATCTTTTTAAGCTGCCTAACTTTAAACACATGACGTTTGATCAAAATATATTAAAAAATTTAAGAAAGGCACAAAAATTGCATGAAAGTCAAGTTTTGAAGTGATTACAAATTTACAATTGAGCATGCAAATTTCAGGAATTTAAAACACGAACACAATTTCTGACACGTTTGCTGTACCTACCAACTGAGAACTCGGTTAATT